TTTAGAAAACCTCTGATCTCTTGGTGGAAATAAGGCTCTCTCTATATGCTTTAGTTTGAGCATGGGTTTTTTCTAAAAATGTAAATATTTCTCCAAATAATTTTGTCAGTTTTCGATAGGAAGATGGGCCACACCTTGCTCTTTGTTCCAACTCTACACTGTAAGTATAATACTTTCCCTCTTTGATATAGTTTAAAAATACACACTAGAACAGTAAAGTATATAGAGCACACACCAGCTTTTTCACTGCTGTTTTGTTTTGGTTCAGATTGGGATTTAAGCACTACATTTAATATCTTACTGAATTTCTGTTTTCCATTATCAGCTAATACAATCACTGTACATTTCTGTTTAAGTTTTCAGTTTACTGCTCTGCTGTGGAAACATTCAAGGTAACTAAACAGACTTTAGTTCTTCTGTTAATTGGTTATCAGATTGTTTTCTCTGTTAAATTTTTTTCTTATCATTTATCCTTCTTTATTAAAATCAAACAACCATATTCCAACACTATTAACACTTGTAACTGACCATTAAAATATTTTATATCCTTAAGCTTTTAATTTTTTCTCATCTGTCAGAAATAGAGAAAAACTAGTAAATATTTTTTAAAAAGGCTTTTATTATGGAAATTAGAATAATTGCCTCCCAAAGCAAATCATTCATACAACTAATTTGTGCTGCAACTAAATGTAAACTAAGTGTAAATTTAAAATTGATTTAAATTGTGTTTCTGTACCCCTATCTACTGAAATGTGACTATTATTTTTAGCACAGGCTTAGTGAGACTGGAATGGTGCTGTCTGTGAACATCAATATTCAAGCCTTGCCACAGATTCTAAGTTTGTTTTATATTTTGAATTTCTACAAGACTAACATTGATGCTTCGATCTCAACTGTTGTATTGAAGATTGTTGCATTGATATATCTTTTAGGTTTTTCATTCTTCTGCAAGGTCAACTTCACCCTAATGTCAAGTATTTTGAAACCTCTAACAAGTTTTCCACCAGGACAGCCTTTTATTTAGCTTTATGTATCATCATTGACTGTATGATCTGGTTAAACTGTAAAGTGCCTTGGGATGACATGTGTTGTGAATTTGGCACTATATAAATAAACTGAATTTAATTTAATTCAGTCAACTCTGTCACACATTTTAAGCACTGTTGAAAAAATCACTCCCCCACTTTTTTGATGATGATTCATTGAGGGGATACATATGATTTTATATATAGGTCAAAACGTTTGAAAAGATATTGTCCCCTAACCAGGGCACCTGCTTCCTCATGTTTTTTGTGTCTCCAATGTGGCTTGTGGCAGTCCTTTTCTTTAGATGTTATTCAGAATAACCACAATTGGCAAGGGCATCTTGTGTACATCTAGGATTTCTTTGTCATGTATGTTTTTAAATAGACACTTAAACAATCATTTTAATAACCTACATTGTTATAACCATGAGTCATTAGGCCAATTGCGAATTAGCATTCATATTTATTTATGGATATTCTAAGAAAATAGTTTTAGTTCATATAATTGTGTGTAGTTTTTGGCTCATTGATGGCAATTAGCCATAGTCACAGTTTCTAATGCCATATTCATAGACTTTTGAAAAGACTTTCTGCCGGTTCTTCAGGTGTGAAAAGCATATTCTATTTATGAATATTCCTCAGAAAATTATTTCAAGTGATATATTTGTGTGTAGTTTTTGGCCAATTGATGGCAATTAGCCATAGTCACAGTTTTTAATGCCATATTCATAGGCTTTTGAAAAGGCTTTCTGCCGGTTCTTCAGGTGAGAAAAGGATATTTTATTTCCTCAAGGGCTTGACTATATAAATTATGTGAAGATGAATGAATGACAAAAAAAACAATGTCAACAAGTTAAAAAAGCTAAAAAGAGGCCATATATTATGTTGCAAGCAAAACAGGAAGTCTGCAAAACCCCAAACCCACAAAGCACCAGAGAGCTACTTACATGACTACAGTTTTAAAGTAAATGTTAGCACTGGTTTAGAAAATGAAACGAGCTTGCAAGAAATTCTTGCCTCTCTTTATAAAAAAAAAGTTAAACAACATTTAGAATGTTCCTCCCACTTCTCAATTATGTACTACTGTAGATTGATATTTAAACATGTGAAATTTTAAAGTTTGAGCACCTAAAATAATATAAAAAATATATGATAATCTCTCTCCAAACAGCATGGCGACCGATCCTGACTGTGTCTCCATCATGGCTCAGCCCTGAAGTCTTAGTCACTCTAAGCTGTAAGGTTAAATATCCAGCTCCTGGTTGGGTGTTCTACTGGTATAAAGCTGTTCCTGATCTACAGAACAATAACTATAGATATAAGCCACTGCCTGACAGCATCAATGGGACTGTAGAGGACTCCTTCATCATTCATGGACAGAGACACACAGCAGGATATGCATGTAGAGCTGGAAGAGCAAACCCAGAGAGTTTAACTGATTACAGTGAACCAAAGTTTGTCTGGTCTGCAGGTCAGTGAGTTTCCCTTTGTCAACTAAACAAATGTTTGGGTGAAGCAATACTACTTGATAACACATATACATTTTCATACTTCATGAAATTGTATTAATACAATTGTTTTTCTTCCAAGTTAACTATGTTTTTTTTGTATTATCAGATTTTAATTTCTGATCACAGATTTTATCTGTAATGTTTGTTAATTCAAAACATTTTATAGATTGCTAGCACTGCTATGATTGGAAAGAAACAGTAAATACAGATGATGCAAATGAATTCCTATTTTACTTATTTTGTTCATTTTTTTAATTTGCTAATGTCAGGTCTTCTTCCAAAAGCATCTCTCACAGTGAAACCTGACAGAAAGAAACTTTTCATCTTAGAATATGTCCAAATGAGCTGTCAGGGAAACTCAGCTGACTGGAGAGTGAGGAAGTTTGAAATAACCGGATTTTCAGCCTATTTATCAGTTTGCTCCAATTGGGGAACAATGACTGGATCTTCATGCAGAGTTAACAGTCGCTGGCCCAGTGAAGCCGTGTACTGGTGTGAGTCTGGATCAGGAGAATTCAGCAATGCAGTCAACGTCACCTTACATAGTATGTAAATAAGCTGTTTCCCCATTAATTTCAGTTATTGTTTAATTGACTTTATTTTTCAGCTAAACTAAAAAATATATATACTCTGGAGTTTTGTTCTATTTTCCTTTGTGTAATATATTAATACTAAACAAAGACATCTAAGA